AATCCGTTTTAATCTGATCCATCTTTTCCACTTTCGAACTATTATTTTGAAAAGTGGAGAAACGTGATAATTGTAATGAATTATGTTATTATTTCACCGCCTCGGCTGAATGAATTGCCAATGAAGAGTGAATAGATAGGTCAAACCGCGAATTTTCTTACTTCATTCCTGACTAAAACAGTGCTAAAAGTGTTTCCCTCAACGACTCCCAAGGTTATATTCTTTGATGATATTTAAAGAAATCGACTGACACCGACAATCAAAGTTTGGCTATTTGATCACTAATGTAAAAAATTAATTGTGCTTCTGGCAGATCTACAATCTTTAAAATTGAGTTTCAAAGTTCTTGTCCTACGACTATTCGTTACAAGACCTAAACAAATCTCATCATAAACCTCCAAAATCTTAAAATCATTAATAGTTTTTTATGGTTTCTTTTGTTTTGTGGCAATAATTTACATAAATCGTTCATCGTTCTTGTAAAAGCGTTTTCACATAAAATTTACGTTTTTAAGTATCGGCAAATTGCTGACTGCTGTCGAACAACGTGTTGTGATAGTTGTATCTAATTTATTGTAATTACAAATAATCTCTTTGATGATTTTATGTTATAAAAACACAGCCATCGGAGATTAATTACTTGTAATATTATCCCTAGAGATATTTTATTGTTACATTGTACGCAATTTCCCATGTTATCTCGAAAATAACCGTGGATACTACATTGATCGTATTTCGTTGTGTTAGAATTGTAGTTATTGGCATATACATGCACATTTGTTTAGTCTATTTAAAACTAGTAGTAATTGATCAAACGGTCGGTCTTTAGCAATTAGTTAACGTTTAGTGCGATTTTAATGCTCGTTTAAACGTTGGAAGTCTTTTGTTCTGTAATTGTGCTCTTTAAACCCGCCTTCGGAAAGACGGAACACGTCGCGGATCATGAGTAATTAATTTAAGAATAAAACGAGGCCACACGGTACCTACTTCCCAACTCTAGGAAACGTTAATGATTTCTTTTTGTGTTTTTTTTTACTCTGAACAGAAAATAGACGCGATAAAAAAGTAAACCAGCGGGAGTTAATGTAGTTACCGACGGAGAGAAAACAGAAGGTAGTGGAAAAAATAAACCAAACGATAATTCACACGATTCAACAAACATTCCATCGGTTTTGTTTACACACGTACAATGTGAATATTTTATTAATTCATATTTGTGGCCGATTCAAGGTGAAATTATTTATCTGTTGGCGAACACTTTTCATTAATTATATCATACGCAGTTTGTAGACAAGTGGGATGCACATCTAAGTCGTTTTCAGATTAGCGGGCTAGCAACCACGCAGCATAGGTCAGTCTTAGCGAAGAAACCTAAATAAAGAAATTTTAATCAATGTTTTATGTTTTTAATATGGCTAGAATAAAAAAAGGTATTGGCGAATAGACGAATAGAGCTTGTTGAGAATTTTTGCCATATCAAGGTCATCGTATTGCTGCTTGTTAAAAATATAGTCCAAAATAAAACTTGTCGAAATGGTAAAAATGTAGTAAATTTTTCAATAAACTAAGCAATATACGAGACAATTTAAACCACCAGCATTGGTTTTAATAAACAGAAAAATATTGACTTTATGACAAATATAGCTTAAGTTAATGCTTGAAAAAGTTTTTTATATTGACAATGTAGAGATTCAATGCTTGCTATAAAATATTATAAAAATTTATGATTATTTCTATAAGCCCTATTTTTCCCATCCCCCCTATATTTTTCAATGGCCTCGGCGTTGAAGTCCAAATCAAACCGTCATCGCTTACGAGGTCGGTTATAAAATTTTATATTACGATTCAATACATTAATTTTCCATGTTTATGTTATTACTTCACTGGTTGAGGAATATCTTGGTGGCCTCTGTCAATTTAGTTATAAGTTCCTTGGATGATAACACGCAGATTTCGCCAGAAAGCGTCGATACAACAAATAAACGAACTCATAACACGCATTTTCCACTAAGCGGCCTAGTCACAGGCGGCAGGTCTTATTTATTTATTAAAATGTGATTTAAATAAATCATTATCACCATACCCAATAGCTGGCATTATTCCATACCCAGTAGAGTGACTGTGTAAAGGAAGCTATTGACGCGGTCGTGATTCTGACGTGAAACAAAGTCACGCGCGGCTAGTCACTTAGTGGAAAGTGGCACTAAGAACAAAATTTAAACTTTGTACCTACGTCAGAGAAGAACGGACACTCTCTGCCCCTCCCTACCTTTGGATACCGCATCAACGCCCCGCACATTGAAGGTCACATTGACTGAACGGCAATAAAGCTGTCGGCGAGCCGTTTTCGCGCTAAGACGGGTTTGAAATTTGAATATATATATATATATATATAGTTTTTATTTATTAATTATGAAACTTGTACGTTAATATGTAACATCATTGTACGTTACTATTTATAATGGTCGTGAATCGTGCTGTGAATGGCTGTTTATCATCACCTAAACGGGATAAACAGACGAGTTTCTTTGTTTTCCGATACATGAAACGGATTAAGTAAAAAACATATGTCTGAGACTCATTCAGTTATTGTTTTCTTCATTTATTTAGTGCAGAATAATATATAATACAGATTTATTATATCAATATAATGAGACGCCATAATTTCGTGAGCTAGTAGACAAGGGTTCTCGCATTTTCAATTTGTATTACCGATAAATATTCCGTACTGAATATACCTAATTATTAACTAGGTAATGAAACACTTGGGCACGCAATTTCAAACACCTTGGTTACCTTATTTACAAGAATACCTGTCCAAAATATATCATTTTAAGTCCTTTTAATGTTTTTTAAATAAATCTTCAATATTATTCTAGTTACTGAATTAATGAAAAATATAATGTTACATCGATATAAATACATTACATACAAACATTATAATTATTATTAAGATTCTATTAATAGAATTCTAGGTAACAGATTCGCGTTAGAATTTTAGCTATATTGCCGCGTAAATAGTAAGAGAAAGTAATGGGTAACCCTTTTTGTAAACCAAGCCACGTCACGCACACATTTGCGCGTGTGAAGATAGCGCGCTATATGTAGTAGTAGGTAAATAACTTTTAACTGTCTTCATAGGGTGTCCGGGGTGTGCCTACGCGCGCTTATTTCCAGTCGTCACCACTGGTTTTGTTCCCACTAGCGACAAATGGGAAAAAACCTATATGTGACCAGGTGGTGACAAACGGGATAAAAAAATCAGTTGTTGCCACTGACGACAAATGGAATTTAAAATATCCCAGAAGTCGCCAGTGGTAACAAAGGGATTAAAAAGTCTCATTTAATGTTTGTTTATTGCCGCCATCAAAACAATAAAAAAAATCGAGTTTAATGATAAAAATACAAACTTGACAGACAGATAGTGTTCATGCTATCTGAATCACTTAACTGCCTCCGTGGCCGAACGGTTACCATGCCGGACTGACACGCAGAGGTCCTGGGTTCGATTCCCGGGCCGGGAGAAATATTTGTATGGCCTACATTTATTTCTCTCGTGAGTTTGGGTGTAATTTGTGTTTGTCTATGTATGTGTCCATGGCACCCGCGACCCAGGGTTTCCCTAGTGCGGGGCTATGTTGAGTGTGTGCGTTGTTATTGTTGTTGTTTTGTTTTGCTATCTGAATCATTGTAAAAGAAGTCATTATTACTGTATTTTTAATTATTGTATGGTATTAGAAACATCTGATATTTGAGGCTGATTTTTTTTAATAAGATCTGTATCATTTACAACGCGACACCACAATAGGAACTGCAACATACACACAAAACATTGGTACAAATAAAACTTACCGAGAAATATTTCAGTTTCTTCAGTCAAAGTACAGATCAATGCAGGTGGCGTTCGCGTTGTAGTGCTATTATGTAGACCTCGTGATGTAGGTGTAACTGCAGCAGGTACAGGAGCAGCGGTTGTCGACGTCGTCGATCGATTCAACGGCTTATCTGGTCTGAACACTGATCGGCACATTTTCCATACGCCTGATTCACTCCACCGTAGGCACTCATTGTTGGACACGTAGATTCCTGAAGGAAGAGCACCGGGTTTTATAAACATATTAAATTCTAATAATACTGAAAAAAAGAAACAAAGTAAAATGAAAATCTGTATGTTGGCTATGTTGATCTACAATCTTTTATCATCTTTCGGGTAATTTTAGAATTCCCCTATCATGAAATTAAACTTATAGAAATATAGCTTTAAGTGTCGTTTGATGGTCTCTTCGTTACCAAATTCGTGACGATTTAAAGAATTTTGTATAGTACAAGTGAAAATTTAAAGGGGCTATGTTGGGCAAATACGATGGATGTGGTAAGACATCCCAACCAAACTGAAATAGTTTTTGACGACGGTAAAGATGTGTGTCGTATGGCGCTATCTTGATGAAATACCATACTTTTAGAAGTCATCAGTTCTGTGCGTTTTTTATGAATTAAAACTGTCCCACCTATTATAAAATACACGCTAAAATATTATTTAAAAAAAAAATGTTTCACCTCGGAAAAGCTTTCTTTCTCATTAGAAATCTGCGCGTAAAAGCGTTTTCCACGTTAGTGTCAACGTGAAAAAGTTTTTTGAAATTTGAACTTGACGATGGACTGTGGTGCACGTTGGGTGCACCTAACTTTTTCTTTCTATGAAAAAAAAAAACAATCACACGTTTAGCTATGCGATTTGTCGTACATTATTTATGTAAGACGAGTCTAAATCCGTTGGTTTATTTTATTCTTATTACTGTTGACACTAAATTGACAACGATAACTAATTTCGTTTATAAAAACTGATTTGTTATAGTTCAACTATTTTTCTTTCGTCTAACTTTTTCCTGGCTATTAGTGGGGTAAAAAGTTGTGTGTTTTGCTCGGCAGCAAAGTTGTTTGCTCAGGTTTTAATACAAGCACTCGCGTCAAACAACAACTTTGCAGCCTTGCATAACAAATAACTATTTTTGTTTAAAGTCAGCTACTGGCAAAAATCGCACTAATTCTTTGGTCAACTTATTCTTGGTACTATCGGAACTCCAATCTAAGATTCTCCTCCCTGGTATTGGTTCACACCGAATATAATACATAGATAAAAAAATAAAAGACAGATTTTATTTTAAATTTTTATTGAATTGATATTCAATTATTTTTTGTGAAATTACTCCACTAGTTTGTTATATTTATTAATACAAAGATCGTACACTCAGAAAAAATTCCTACGATCCGGCCGGATTCGAACCGACGTCTTCTAGCTTACCGTGTCAGACGCTATACCAACTAAGCCAAGGAACGAACCAGTGGACCTCACGAATTTTTCTATGTGATTGCGTCGTGTCTTTGTACTTGTTAGTCGTAGCGCCATCTATGAGAAATCTATGAAAGATTTATCACCTTTTAGTCGTTGAAAAACCAAATACAAGTTGGTATAGCGTTTGGCACGGTAAGCTAGAAGACGTCGGTTCGAATCCGGCTGAATCGAAGGATTTTTTTCTGAGTGTTCGATCTTTGTATTAATAATTATAATAGATTTTATTGTTTCTTTTTTTCGTTTATTTTATTTTTACTATTTAATGGCATACAAACAGGCTACCTGGTGGGAAGTGGTTGCCGTTGTCGATGGACATTTTATTTTCTTCATTAATAAAGGATTTTTTCATTTCATTTTATTTAATTTTAACAAGGGACTGCTAAAATTGACTTTACTATGTAGACATGTAGCAAATGAGCAGGTAATTAGAGAAAATTGAGGCGCTAATGAGCGCGGAATCGAGGGCAGTTAGGGCGACGGATTTAGTATGTGTTGCTTTATGAGTGAACTAGAATTTTCTCTAGTAATTTACAGAAAGCCGTAGGAAAGTCAAAATGTTGAAAACATGAGACTAATAAACGGAATAGTCTGACAATAGTATTTTGATATCTTTTTGTGAATATTGTTTACGGTGATTACGGGATTTGGACGTTTATTCCGTAATAACGTTCTTTACCTCTCGCTATGAAGGAAAACATCGTGATAAAATCTTACATATCAATGGCGGTTCACAATCCTTTGGAAACCGTATAAACCCTACAAACAAGCAGGTTGTATAAGTGAACTCTTATACGACTGTTAGTCTTGTAAGTGTTTTATAGTGGTTAATACCTAAACAGTAGAGTAGCGTAGATGTTTTAGATTTGACAGTTTGGTCATCTGACTAAATAGTCCAATATCAAAGTTCAATAAATCTTTACACAAGTTAATTATACGACAATCATAATGGTCTGAATTAAAACGTTTCCTTAACGTCTCAGTCGTAAAAAGGTGTTTTAAATGTCATTATTGTCATATAAAGACAACTATTGAGACATCTAAACAACCAATTGGTTTATCAAAGTTTGCAAAAAACATTTATTTGACAATTATATAGTTGCCAATTCGAATGACATCTATACGACACAAAGGTATTTTAGTACCAATTATATACTTTTTATTAAACAGTTAATTTAATTAATGTAAAAGAGAAATATTTCTTTATTTATTTAAATATTTATATCTATAAATCATTGTTGTTGATAAACCTGTTATATACCTTTTATTTAACAATAATGTTTTATATAAGTTATTTTATGACTGAAATAAAACAAAAGAAGAGATTTTGGGGTTATTATAAATTTAAAGAAAAACAACAAAAAGATGTATTTCAAATAGTGGAACCTGGAGAAGAAAAGTTAAAAAGGCATATGAGTTTTTAAAAACAGCTCAGCTATGCAGATGAAGATATCCTTGCAGAAGAGTGTTCTGTAGAAACCTTGAATGGTTCCGTACAAATATTTTCTGAAAATATTGTAGAGATAGTACAGAGGTCTTCAATTTCTGAGGAAACCGGAATCTGGCGGACGTGTACAAATTCAATATATGAATAAAACCGTAGTTTAAGACCGTCATAGTATACTTATTATCTTGAAGTAAATTACAAAACGATATATTATAGTTTTTTATAAACTAGGGTGAGCACATGCAATTCTGCACCCGTACAACTTTGTGTGTTAACAAATATGTTTCCTATAAAATGCAACATTCTATTTTTTCTGTTCTCATAAGAATTCCACCATGTTTGAGAATAATATTTAAAAAATACATTTTCTTTAAAAACTCAAAGAGATTATACAATTACATACGATTCTATTTGATTTCTAACAAGGTTCTTTACTTGACTAAATGTTATATTATTGTTGTATAACATTTAACCGATGACTTGACAGCAATGGCCGACTTTATACATATTTTACAAATATTATTATAAATTGACAAAATTTCAAATATCCGTCGAGTGCGAAAGTAAAACTAAGTATCGTCGTTTAAAATACCAATTAAATTAAATTCCCACAGAAGTTTACGCCTATCTCTGTCAACTACACATACAATATCAATTTCAACAACACACCATTTCAACTTATATTGTATTTGTTATTTTTTATCCATTAATTCACACCGAAAGAAGTTCAGCGAAAAAGTATTTTATACAACATTTCAAAACATTTGCTCAACTTTAAAGTCAAGTACATGGTTTTAAACCATTTATAACACAAAATACTTCGTTTTTTAACCTTAATACGACGTTTTTGTCGGATAAATGTTTTTTCTGTGCTCTTTATACAACGCTTTAGTCATCCCGTACCCATTATACAAATTTGAATTAACTATATTAGTTGCCAGGAAAAACTGTATTTAATGATTACATTGATTACATTAGTGCGCCACTTTCGCTTTTTATAAACGTTTTCTTTGCGTTTATACGACCAACCTATCTAACCAGAAGTCGGATGTAAAACGTTAACGTAACTTGTGTAGGACTTTATTTTGTTAGTTGGGAAGTCCCCGATTGAGTATTTTTGCATTTTATAAAGTGTGCCCGCCGCACCTCGCTGCAGCCCGTCGCCGCTTACTGCATCATCGTTTTCATTTATTTGTTTAATGAAATGTTGCCTTGTTTTGTAGGGAATATAGTTTACGTTGCATTGCTCGTTTTAATGCAGCGCGCAATGTGAATCAACGCTAGGCGTATTGTGACTTCAGGTAGTCATGACACTTAAAATAATAATAAGAGCAACAAAGACGTAGTGAATTTGGCTTAAGTAATCCGAGCGGAAACGAAATGCGCAACGCTTTTTGTTCTTATTGCATGAACATAAAGCTCTTTCTGACGGGTTCAAGTCGATTCCGCTTTAATAAGTATATTAACTCCCTTGACCCCTGTCATATAAAAGACACGTGCTCACGAGGTATAATGGATTGATAATGTTGTTGTTGTCGAGCTGGTAAGAAAATGCTAATATTATTTTCGTATAACAGAAATTGAAATTAGCAACGTCTATTGATAAAAACTAAACTATCACAGTTCATTTACGCCTTGAGTGTACTTAAATAAAATTCAGACATGGATTGTGCTTTGACCGCATATTATGTGTATGCAAATGCTTGGCTCCGCTGTGGAATTATCCTGTGGGGACACACTAATGAGGCGCAAAAGATATTCATCCTGCAGAAAAAGTACCTCAGGATAGTCCTACCTACGTATGCCGTGGAGACAGCTGTAATTTTTTCTTCATAAAACAACAGATATACCCTTCCATGTTTGAATATACTCGAAATAGCAACATTTGTTAGAAAAAATAGAAACCTCTTTGAACAAAGACAGCATAAGCACCTCTAACGCCTAAACTTACAATTTTAAAAATAGCCGTTATTACAGAGCAATATCTAACATGGTACGTAGTAATATACTTACTTCAGAAAGACGGTAAAGTGTTTTATAATAAGTTGAAAAACCTCCTCATACAAAAGTGTTATTATGCAATACAAGATTTTGTTAAAGACATAGAACTCTGATCTCCCTATATTAAGTTCTACAATTATAATGATTAGTATATAGATTCATTATTTTATCGATACCATATTACTTTATTAAGATATTTTATTATTTAAAAGAATTTAATAAGTTTGTCATCTCATTTATTAGTGATTATTATTTTTTAAGTTGAATAAGTATATTTTTTCACTTCTC